CTTGGCCGTGAGGTGCCGCGCGGCGACGCTCCCGCCCGCGGGCGCCGGTTGGCAGCCGACTGCGATCGCGGCTATTTCTCCTCGCCCCTTGCTGGTAATTTAAAGGTATTTGTTAACTGTGCAAAACACTTTTCTTTTTGAGCCTTTATCAGCATATGCCTCACGTCAGAGCGTTTAACTGTAGATTTAAAGAATGCAAAAGAAGCCACTCCTGAAAGAGTGGTTTCAGTGTGAAAGATAAAAAGCTGGAAAAAATAAGGGCCTTTAACCGTTGTCCCAAAACTTTTATTTTGCTTGAACTCTTTCTCTTCAAAGAACGTAAAAACTAATTGTTACTGTTGTTTACTGTTGTGCTTACATTTGGATGCGCATGTACTTATGCTTGTACACTAAATTACGTGTTTTCCCTCTGTGCCAGGCCTAACACACACCAAATACTAGGAAATTATCCTAGATTATGTCTTATTCAAGTTGGGAATAGAAATGGGCAACTTAATCTATGTTAGAGCGATATTTTACCAATAGTGAAGTAATAGTGCCCTCAGTTTCACCCTTCAACCAATAATTTAGATCATATAACAGTAGAAAACCACTGGAACTGGAAACATTACTTCAGGAAAAAAAAAGGCTATAAGATTAGAGAGAGTCTAGATTAAGGTGATTAATGATTATTATTCTTTCAACCTTTTACTTATATTTAAGCATCAATGTTGTATATTGCCATTTCTGGCAAAGCAATAAGCAGAGAATACTTTAACAAAAAGTGATATTTCTTACTGTTGGTTTTTAGTCTGGAGGTGGATGGTTCAAGGGTAAGGCCTTCATCATTCCTGTTACGGAATCTAATGCTGGTTATTAGGAGCTGAAAGGTTGAATCATCTCTCTCTGGTGCCCCTCTGAAGTGTGTGTATTTCTCCCACCCCAAGTCAGGATGTGTAGGAATAAAGTGAGTGTTACCAGAATTAAATTCTGTAGCCTTAAATTCTGTAGCAGATCTCTGCTACAGCCTTCTGTAGCAGAGATCTGAGCTGTTCCAGTACAAAGGAAACAAATTAAAAAAGGAAAGCCACATTGTAGACAGTAGTGTAGGAAAGATTAATAATGACCTGAGGAGAGCTCTTGAACTAAATTAAGACTTTAATTAAAGTTTTTGTAAGTAAGTATAATGTTAGCTGTGGAAGTTAAAGATAATGGGAATGAAGGTCTGAAAACAGCAGTTACGATAGCAAAGATCTAAATAAAAATAAGATAATACTCCAGGTAGAGGTTGCTACTGAATAATTTAAATTCCAAAATTCTAGAAAGACAGACAAACTGTTGAAGAGCCAGCAACAGAAACTTACCAATTGTTTCACATTTGTAGTATTCCAATATGGGGGAAGGAGAAAAAAAAAAAGGTTGTTTTGTTTTGGTTGGGCGGGTGAAAGGTCAAGTCTGCCAAGTCTGAAACTGACATCTGGATTGGACAAAAGGCTTTAGAGTTTAGAAGGACAGCTAGAGAAATAAGAGGAATTGCGATGAGTTCTTGTAGCAGCTGACTGAACTATTTATTATGACCTTGTTGAAGAAAAAAACACATTGAGTAAGTGCGCACTCAGGTGAAAGACAAGGTTGATGTGGTAATCCCAGTTTTAAGACAAACAAGCTCAGCTGTATCTGTACAACATGATGCATCTACAAAAATATGTAATCCTAGTATATGTTAAGAAAGACTTTTTCCTATAGTGATAGAGGCTTCGAATTGTCATTTACAAATGAAAGAAAACCATACATTTTTTGTCGTCCGTGCCTGACATTAATTGAAACTGGGTCAAATAAAGAGAGGGGGCTGCTAAGGAAGTATTTTTTTTTAATAAGTATAAATTAGAACAGTCTATCCTGTTTCATGAAAAACTATCAAAAAGGTAGACCAGGAGGGATATGACTCCATAACAGTAATTTCCACAAGGAAACATAACTATGTAGCCTTAGAAAAAAAATCACCTAAGAGCCTGGGTTTGATTTGCTTGAGCAATTACTTGGGAAGTTTTGTAATTTAAATTAAGTTGTTGAGAGGCAACTGTATGCCTTGCTCAAAAGAGGTTAAACTTGTTTTTCTGGTAGGTGTGGATATTTTACTAACGTTAAGGCACACCAAGCATTTGAAATAAAATGTCTTGGCAGGCATCTTAGCTACTGTATCTAAGTTTTTTTTTTCTTGGTCTCTTTCTGGTATTGAACAATTCTTGCAATTTATCTTAAAAAAAAAAAAAAAAAGTTTTTTGCTTCTGCGTTGAACTGAGCAATTGGTAGATACATCATACCAAAAAGTAACTGTGGAGAACCAGTTGGAGAACTGAACAAAACTTTACTCTGCTGTCTGCTTTAAAAGGTATGTTTGCTTTCTAATGCTTCATATTCAAAATGCAGTTGAAAATAAGCTTCATTGTTAATTATTTACAGCCAACAAAGGAGAAGAAGCAATAAATTAATTGCATTTTTAATGTTGATTTATTGGGGATATTTTTAGTAAAGATTATTTATCCTATAGGACCAAACCATATTTTAAATCATAATAATATAAGATCAAGGATAAATGTTAAAATATTAAATGGGGCTTACTCTCTGTTATAAGAACACTAAGAATAAGATTAGTAAATGCTCCAGGTAATCTTTCTGCCCAACTTTAGAAGTTCGATTGAAAAAAAAAAAAAAAAAAACTTACAAATGTTTAGTTGTTCTTAGTTACTGTTCTCCAGCAGAAAGTTCTGATAGTAGCAGGCATTTAAGCATACATTTGGTTTTGGTTCTGCTCTAAATTATAAATATTTCTGGAAAGATTCTTCACTTCAGAGGTTCAGTATAGTCTTGCTGCTGCTGTTCTGCTTTGTCCCCAGTCTGGTATAGTGAGATTTGCAGTGCTCCTATGACAATTCTTCACTGCAAAGCAAATTCCTGGGAGCTATCAAAGGCTGCTATAAATCATATCAATCTTGGGAAACAGGACATTTTAAGAATTGTATTGTGACCTTGTATCTTACTACTTTTCTTTCTGAGGAAGGAGCAATTGGACAAAATATTGCACATTCTTTATGAAGACTTGGTCAATTATCTTCTGCCTAAACTCAGATGAGATTCAGAAGTTAGATTACTTATTTTGGAAAATATGTTAAGAAGAAAAACAGGCCTCTAATGATCCTTTCAAATCAAACAGTGAAAGTGCTAGTTATGAGATGCGGAGTATGATCTCTGAAGCAAAACTATAGATTTAGGTGTTTATATACTCTAGATTTGTCACATTCTTACTTTGCTCCTATGATTTTGAAATTATAATATTCTGTTCCAGCACAAAAGACTATTGAAATATAAGCTCTCAAAATGTCTTTATACAATATGTGAAATATTTCCTTCTTTTTTTATTAAATCTAATTCTGATTTTACAGTAGATTAGGAGCATTTTTTTCAAGGACATTCAGAGATTTTGTATACTCTTGAAAGATACTTAAAAAAATAAAACAAGTAACTACTTTACAGCTCTTAGTGGAAGGACAAGAAATATGCAAACTTCCAAAATCTGCTACATCTATGATATTGCTACTTGCTGTCTCTATAAATTACACACATACAGATTTGGGTCTTTTAGCAGCACAAATATTCTTCTCAGCAGCTGGCTCTATGCAGCACTGACATGCCTGCCGGAAACATGTTCATCTTCTGCAATACAATCAGTTTATTCCATTGGGAATTTTACCCCACTCTTTTTGCTGGATAACTGAGAGACTTTCTCCTATGCAGTCGGGTTTTTCCTGTCTAAATGACAGCAATATGATTAATCTGGGGCACTCTTCTGAGAATCTGTGATACAAAAAGGCCTTTGAAAAGGTTTGCTGTCCGCTTGCTATTCATTATATCTGTATCCCTAATGATGCATTTCTTTT